ATCTACTCTGCTAAAAGAATGTTTGCCTAATCTTGAAACCAAAGAAGAATTAGAGAAAATTTACGAGAAAAAGAAAATGATGAAACAGATGATCCTGATGAAAGTACAGAACTATTATTTATGCAATATTTTGTAATTCATCGTTTGTTTATAATAATAAATATGACAGTCCCATGCAGTAGCGTTTGGTCTTGCAGTTCCTGTAACATTCGTTCGTAGAGTTAATACTGACAGAGATTTCATAAATGAAGGATACTTTGACTGCAAGATAAATGTCGAAGACAATCCTTTAAACACTGCATATGATGTTGTACTATTAATCATTTATCGCTACAAATTTGATAATAATATGGATATATGTTATGATTGGCAAAACTGTTTTTTAACCAAATTAACTTCCGCATAAACCTAGCTGGTAGAACATTAAACAAGAGTATCGTCGCAAGCAGGGTTCGTCGTAAGGTACTGGAAGCCGCATCTCGTAAAATCGTAAAAATTATATTTCTGATCAGTTTAGTATTCCTGATTAGCTATCTTCCAATATTAGTTTTAAAAATTCATGAAAACATAAACGGATGGTACTTAATTACACCATGTTCACTGTAAAACCCTGCAATAGCCGTTATTGAAAGTCAAAATACAAATTATAATTTGTACATATTTTTTGTACAAATTATAATTTTCACAAAAAGATATCATGTACACAATATATATATACACTCTATATCAAATATCTAAAATATTTTTAAATGAATATCACGTGATGTCAAACGTACTGAATCGTTATAACTAACTTATTTCAAAAGTGGGAAAAGTTACATTTTAATTACACTTCCTACTTCGAATTTGAATTTTAGAGAAACCCTGGTTAAAATTGTTCATGCAATATTTTGTATTTGATCGTTTGTTTGACATGAGAGAGACATGAATGAATCCACATTTCCTCCATCAATCAGTAGAAACACTTCGGAAACATCTACTTCTTCTTTGGAAACAAATCATTCCAGTTTTCCTACTGTCATTCGAACGCCTGATAACGTGGCCGCTATTATTTTCTGCCTCAGTATTGCTGTAATCGGAGTAATAGGAAATGTTTTAGTTATAGGAATAAAAACATGGAAATACAAGTCATCGACACACCAAGTATTTATTATCGGTCTTGCTATAACGGACGTATTAGTTTGTGGACTTGTGATGCCCATTAATTCAGTTGAGATGTTGATGAAATACAGTTTTTATACTACCATTATAGGACGTGTGATAAGAACTATGGATCATATGATTGTTTATATATCTGTGTTAATAGTTACAGAAATGTCAATTGATCAGTATAGAAAAATATGCTATCCAACAAAAAGTCAGATGACACCAAAGATTGCAGCCATTATAATAAGTATGACAATCCCAGTAGCGTTTGGTCTAGCTATTCCTGTAACATTCGTTCGTAGAGTTAATATTGACAGAGATTTCATAAATGAAGGATACTTTGACTGCAAGATAAATGACGAAGAAAATCCTGTAAACGTTGCATATGATGTTGTACTATTAATCATTTATGTCGCTACAAATTTTATAATAATCGGGATATATGTGATAATTGGCAAAACTGTTTTTAACCAAATTAACTTCCGGATAAACTTAGCTGGCAGAACATTTAAGAAGAGTATCGTCGTAAGCAGAGGTCGTCGTAAGGTACTGGAAGCCTCATCTCGTAAAATCGTAAAAATAACATTTCTGATCAGTTTAGTATTCCTGATTAGCTATCTTCCAATATTAGTTTTATACATTCATGAAAACATAAACGGATGGTACTTAATTACACCATGTTCACTGTAAAACCCTGCAATAGCCGTTATTGAAAGATTTTATGGTTTTAACCACATGGCCAATCCTTTCATTTATGGATTTTTTGACAAAAACTTTAGAAACGAGATTAGTATGTTGGTAACGAAAATATTTACTTGCAAGAAGAGTAACATAAAGTAGAAAATTCTCCTCATTGTGGCATTTGCAATCCATGGATTTTGATTAAAGACACCCATTAAAATAGTTGTCGATAAGTAACTTGTACCTTTGTCATTTATTTCCTTTATCTGTTTTATGATTAAAATATGAATTATTTCATGATCACGATATTTGTATCTTTTTTCTTACATCATGGTTTAAAGTTAATGTCTAAAATATATAGGTAAATGAAAAGAATGAAAACAAAACCATGATCAGACATTGAGAATAAAATAAAACTTGCAGAAAATCCCAAATTTTTTAATCTTTAGAGACATGAGATGTAATGTTTCAACGAATTTTCAATCAAATACCACAGCAAAGAAAGTAGATATCTTACAGTTTTTTTTCATAATGCTAGCAAGTTTAAAGGTTTGGTTGACTTGCTTGCTTTGTTTGTATAAATGTTTGCTAAAGCATTGTAATTAAGATTGACATCTGCAAACAATATAAGTAGGCGGAGTTAAACCTGTGTATAGGTAAATTTGATTATTTAATAATGTCCGATCAAATTTAAATATAATGTATACAAGTTTAAATCCGCCTTTATATATTGTTTTCAGATGTCAATCTTAATTACAATGTTTGAGCAAACATTAATACAAACAAAGCAAGCAAGCCAAACAAACCTTTAACTTGCTAGCATTATGAAAAGAGCTGTAATGATATCCGCTGATCTTGTTTTTGACTTTTTGTCAGATATTCGGAACCTTTGGTTTTTATTCATCAAGTGCCATTAAAATTTTGCCCGCTAATCCATACTTTTCTTTTCATAATTTTTAACATATAGTTTTAAAAGCCATTTTTGACAATCTGGTAAAATCCTGGTTATTTTTTCATAGCTTTTAAATGAAGGAGCCAGTGTTAAATGTATGAAAATTCTAGAGAAAATAATTTAGCGCTAGATTTTTACATGGCTTATATATGAAAAACAAGGACACGACCATTGCATTTTCTGCATTTTTAGTTAGGTATTTACGTACAACCAATTTATAACAGTCTTTTGAAAAAATAATTATTTTGAAACATAGCAGCGAACATCCCGAAGTCAACATATACTGTCTTATTCAAAACAGTTCAGACCTCCATCCTTCTTAAAGACAATTTCAAGACCGTAGCCTTTGTAAACTATTTAAATGGCGTTAGTCTGTTGTCCGTCTCTTTGTTTTCTAAAACGTTCCTCAATTTATTTCGATCGTATGAAAAACATATTCTTAATTGATTCATTAATTCTGTATATTGGTTAATGTTTAGCATTTACAATATATGGAAGATGATTTTAATTCCTATTGTAAAATAAAAATCATTTCTTTCCAGACAGATGAAAAACAAAAATATAATAACTTTGCCTCACTTTGAATTTTGAAACCTAATTCTTTTCAACCTTTACATGAGCAACACGACTGGTGCCACATGTGGAGAACGATCTTCTTACCCTTTCGGAGTACCTGTGATTTAACACGGTTTTGCTTTCGTGTTGCTCAGTATTTAGTTTTTTCTATGTTGTGTTTTGTAGACTATTGTTTGTCTTTCGTCGTTTTTCGTGTTTTACCATGGCGTTGTCAATTTGTCATCAAATAAAGCATTGGTTAGAGGAATCCTACAAAATCATTCTGATTTAAAAAAACAAAAAAAGACGTGCACACAATCATTATATGGTTAAGATTGGGAGTAAGTTTTGATAAATTGTAATAAGGGGTTTAGGACAAGTTGTTTATACAAAACGGGTACCCCCTCAATAAAGCTATGACAAAGACCATGGTTTGCAAAGCCCCCCCCCCCCCCATATGATTCTGATTACAAAATAGGAGGTGCCCTAAAGCTTTTATGTTTAATATTGTTAGTAAGTGTCAATAAATCGAAGTAAGTGTTTCAGGAAGAAAAGGAGTCGATATAAAATTGGAACCCCTGAATTTGTAAGTTGCAGTTGCGGATAGATAAGTGGGACAGAAAAACGAACTTAACACACGGACAGACAGACAGACACATCACATAGACGAACAGACGTACTCCCGCACCTTTATATAACTCCCGCTTTAGAAAGCGAGGGGTATAATTTAGATCTTCAAATTCAATCAAATAATTTGTAAGGGGTAATGAACATCCTCATATGCTCAGGGAATTATCATATAAATTGTATATAGAGTTATCATTAAATTTTCTTTTTTTTTTTATGTCGCACATTTTTTAACCGAATTTTGATACTTTCGTGTTAATGATTAATTCTAATAATGACAATACCTGATGTTTCCTTCTTCCCTTATATGATTTATTGTAAAAGTGGGTTATTAATTTATTTTGATAATTTTTAATTGAATATCGGTCGACCGCGAAGATATTTTTTGTATTAACAAGGAAATATCGTTGTAAATGAGAAATGGGAAGTAACATTTTTAAACGTTACCTTATTCCTGTATTGAATAAAGTTGCACTTGTTCAAGCAACATATATAATAACAATTTTATGATTTTCAATTAATTTACAAACGGGTTTTAATTTACCTGTCTCAGGGTTTTTTATTTAACATCTGGTTTATATCATTCTTGATGGATCTAAGTTTTCCTAAAGAGTCTTATTCCAGAAGTACATTGCAGGTAATACATATGAGGGATTTGCAATGTTCAACTAGGAATCATATGCAATTAAAGTCTTCATATGAGTACGTTACGAGTGTATATCGACAGAGGCCGGTGTCAGTGGTCTATATACTTCTTTTAGTCAATATATCCTCGTATCGATCTTATTCAAAGGTTAGAATTATAACATTATTATTGTGAATGCGCCGGAAATTCATTTGACTTTTGTTACGTTTGCATTACAAAGTAATGAGGTTTTAAATTTCTATTTTTAGATATTTTAAAAATAAATCTGCAATATATCACTTCACTGTTAGCCATTTTCAGTCTACCTTTGAAGATACAGTTGAACATGTGACTCTTTCTGAACGAATCAGATAAGTTAGATTATACAAAATAACAAAGGTACACATAGTGCGTGTCGTGTTACTGACAGATTCTAGAGAAAATGCTTTATTAAATACTATTTATGACACCAAACATTTCGCTTGGATATTTGATACAGTACATAAGGCTTCAGTAATGATGCAATATAGTGAAGACGCTCACAAAGTAAATAACAAGAAAAAATAAAATGATTATCACAAATTATTGTTAATGTTCAGAGTCATCTCTTCCATGATCTGGTTCGATCACAGTAAATGCAAAATGGCCCATCTTACCCCCAAAGAAAGTTTTAATAATCTGTTACAGTTTCATAACTCTGAGGAAGAAAAAAGAACAGAAATAACAGAATTTTAACACTCGTGCATACTCACATACTCATACACATGTCAAGGCATATACATATATAAGCGTTGGGTTAAATCGGTCATCATCTTTTCGAAGCAAATCTACTTGGCATTAAAATAGTAAATCTCATAAACAAGCAGTACAATGTACTATTGACGGCATATGTGCGTTTGTTGTATGTCATTGCCGAAACAGAGTCACATCTTGTCGCCTCAATTTAAATTGAAGTCCCTTATGCTAGCACTGTCCATTGCGACGACGGTATTCTGGATCCTTATATAGCACAATCAAACATCTGATAAATATACCAAACAAACCAGAGGCCATGATTAAAGCACCAGATAATATAAAGCCAGCTTTGAATTTCTCCGTCGGTTCATCTATGTAGTCTTCTGCTGATTCTGTAATGACACAATAACAACATCATATCATTATTTTCATAAATATAAAACGGACTTGGAAACAACATGTACGTACTGGATTTTCAATCTATTGTACAAATGCTACGATTAAAATTGTGTACATGTTATTATATATATAATTACAAATTCGATTTTTTGCGAGAGACAATATTTTATTTAGCTTGCTAATTCTATGAACTCAATTTACAGTGAAAACGAAACTAATAGTCACGCCTATAATATTTCATGATATTTAACAGGTTGGGGACAACCCGCCAAATTGTGAATAGTTCCCCGAACTATCATTCAAATGAGGGATACTTTTCTAGTGTTATAAAAACTATTTTTAATACACATTTAATATGTCGTATATTCATGGAAAGTGCAGCAAATTTTCCGAAGATGAAGAATAGCCCTAACCTGATTTACTGAGAAGTTACAAGCCTTTGAAAACTTAGAAAAAAATGACAATTTTCAAGGCTAGTAAGAACTTTTTCAAAACCCAAAATAAAAATATGGTTCTTTGAAAGAAGGTGTTACATTTTCTTTAAATTTGTGCCATTTTAAGTAAAAAAAACTCGGCTATGTTAATTTTGTTTTAGCAATATCAAATGATTACTCAATTGAGGGATAATCATTTTGTGAATACATGTAGTTCCCTATTAGAAGGGTTGTCCCCAACCTGTTAAAAACAGAAAAAACAGGCGTATATAACTGTTACAACATGTGTGTATCGGCAAGCTTTAACCTGACATTTTGGAACGCAAGCATTCCTATCAGTATCAGTTTAAAGGGGCTTCATGATCATCGATTTGACTTTACTTTACTCAAATTCCATTTTTACAGCTTCATAAGCGTACCGTGAGGTTCTGACAACAAATTAAATATCTAATATCATGAGTATTTACTTATATAAATGCTTATAGATGGATGAGAAGTGCAATTTTGATAAATGTCACAATATTAATAGTTAACTAAAAAGGATTTATATTTTCTCTTAAACACAACAAATTCACTTATGTTTCGGACGTACTTCAGCGACAAAATTACAAAAGCTTGTCAAATGTTCACTATTTTATAAAGCTCATCTTCATCTGGAGTTATGTGTTTTTCAACAGTTGTGTGTTTTCAACAGTAATGTGTATGGGTTTTACAACTGTGTTTTTCAACTGTAATGTGTATGTTGTTCAACAGTATTTTTTTGTGTGTTTATAACAGTACTGTGTATGTATTTTTCAACAGTAATGTGTTTTTCAACAGTATCGTGTATGTGTCTTACAGTTATGTGTTTTCAACAGTATTGTGTATGTGTTTTCAACAATAATATGCATTGGTTTACAACAGTAACGTGTATATGTTTTCAACAGTAACGTGTATCTGTTTTCAACAGTATCATGTGTGTTTTTTCAACAGTATCGTGTATGTGCTTTGCAACTGTAATGTGTATGTGTTTTTCAACAGTAATGTGTAAGTGTTTTTTTCGATTTTTTGCGAGAGACAATATTTTATTTAGCTTGCTAATTCTATGAACTCAATTTACAGTGAAAACGAAACTAATAGTCACGCCTATAATATTTCATGATATTTAACAGGTTGGGGACAACCCGCCAAATTGTGAATAGTTCCCCGAACTATCATTCAAATGAGGGATACTTTTCTAGTGTTATAAAAACTATTTTTTAATACACATTTAATATGTCGTATATTCATGGAAAGTGCAGCAAATTTTCCGAAAGATGAAGAATAGCCCTAACCTGATTTACTGAGAAGTTACAAGCCTTTGAAAACTTAGAAAAAAATGACAATTTTCAAGGCTAGTAAGAACTTTTTCAAAACCCAAAATAAAAATATGGTTCTTTGAAAGAAGGTGTTACATTTTCTTTAAATTTGTGCCATTTTAAGTAAAAAAAACTCGGCTATGTTAATTTTGTTTTAGCAATATCAAATGATTACTCAATTGAGGGATAATCATTTTGGGAATACATGTAGTTCCCCATTAGAAGGGCTGTCCCCAACCTGTTAAAAGCAAAAAAAACAGGCGTATATAACTGTTACAACATGTGTGTATCGGCAAGCTTTAACCTGACATTTTGGAACGCAAACATTCCTATCAGTATCAGTTTAAAGGGGCTTCATGATCATCGATTTGACTTTACTTTACTCAAATTCCATTTTTACAGCTTCATAAGCGTACCGTGAGGTTCTGACAACAAATTAAATATCTAATATCATGAGTATTTACTTATATAAATGCTTATAGATGGATGAGAAGTGCAATTTTGATAAATGTCACAATATTAATAGTTAACTAAAAAGGATTTATATTTTCTCTTAAACACAACAAATTCACTTATGTTTCGGACGTACTTCAGCGACAAAATTACAAAAGCTTGTCAAATGTTCACTATTTTATAAAGCTCATCTTCATCTGGAGTTATGTGTTTTTCAACAGTTGTGTGTTTTCAACAGTAATGTGTATGGGTTTTACAACTGTGTTTTTCAACTGTAATGTGTATGTTGTTCAACAGTATTTTTTTGTGTGTTTATAACAGTACTGTGTATGTATTTTTCAACAGTAATGTGTTTTTCAACAGTATCGTGTATGTGTCTTACAGTTATGTGTTTTCAACAGTATTGTGTATGTGTTTTCAACAATAATATGCATTGGTTTACAACAGTAACGTGTATATGTTTTCAACAGTAACGTGTATCTGTTTTCAACAGTATCATGTGTGTTTTTTCAACAGTATCGTGTATGTGCTTTGCAACTGTAATGTGTATGTGTTTTTCAACAGTAATGTGTATGTGTTTTTAACAGTAATGCGTTTTCAAACAGTATCGTATATGTGTTTTTCAACAGTATCGCATATGTGTTTTCCATCAGGAATGTGTTTTGCAACAGTAATGTGGTTTTCAACAGAAGTGTGTTTTTCGACAGTAATGTGTAATACTATGTGTATTTCAATAGTTGTGTGTGTTTGTTTTTTAACAGTTATGTGTTTTTCAACAATAATGCGTTTTTCAACAGTAATATGTATGTGCTTTTAACAGTACGTGTATTTCAACAATAGCGTACGTAAAAATAACAGTATAATACGACATAAAACAAAATATTTTCATTAGATTTTTTTCCGTCCTTGGATTTATACCTATTAAAAAATTTGCCAATAATTGCTAAATTCCTCTATACGTATACATATTCTTTCAAAATTGTTTTGAAAAAAGGAATTCACCCACTATGGTGACTGGGGAATAGAGTTATGGTCATTTTGGTCTTCTTCATACCGGCAATAAAACCCTTGCCGAAGCGGGGCGTCCGTTTTTCTGTGCGGGATGTACAAGTACGCAGCCACGTCCGGCCAGAATGGGGACATTAAATCGTAGACGTCTCGTATAACGAGAGTGTCACGATCTCTGCGCGTTAAGAACCCTTGCAACAACTCTTTGAAGGGTCTGTAGGTGGTCTGTTACACATTCTGTCTCTATCCAATATACCCTCATTTTCCAGTGGCAATCATAATTCCCCCGACTTTTATACCGGACGGCCTCTATTACAGAACCTTTCTATTGTATTCATCATTAATTTGTTTTCGTCTCCAAACTACATGAAATATTTGCTACTGGACGTTAAGCAACAAAAAATCAATCAATCAATAAAGACAGACTAACGTTTCTTTTTTAATTTCTTTTTCCGATTTCTATCATCCTTATAAGCAGCATAAAAGTATACTTAATGTAATTAAATATGCTTTCATCTGATTATGTCTTGAATACACAACTATTAATCTAACCTTTGGCATAGGCCGATCCCATTTCACAAACACCTGCTACAAAACAGACAATGCCTAGACATACACGTGTGTTGTTCCTTCCAAATTCATCTGGTATCACATCTAACATCATCCACAAGATACAATCTAAAAAATACCAGATAAAACAGTAATTCATCTGAATAATGTGCAAATTGAGTTATGTTTACCAAAATGAAAAAGTAATAAACACTATCATTGATCGATCAGAAAAAGCATTTATTTGCCTCAAGATTAAAATTCGATTAAAAGAACAAAATGCTGTTTGAAAAGTACAAATCATAACCGAAGCAACTAACTGTATGGAAATCATTCGGTTAATATTTATAATTTTCTTTTCTTTTTTTTTGTTTGCTTGATTTTGCTTGTATTGCTTTTAGTAGTTTTTTTATTTGTATTTTTTCCATAAAACAATACATTTTTACCTTCATTACTCCTATCATACTTACGTTTAGCCACTACAAATAATATCCCATAAAAAACTATAAGGCCAAAGTCTGTGTATGGCAGAATTACACATGTAGCAAGACCAGCGATGAAATTAATTGGTCCAAGTACAGCTAATATATTGGAAAGTGTTTGATTCTTCCAAGCGCACATTAATAATGAGGCACAAGCAAATCCCATATAAGGCACAAATTTTGCTGTCATTAGCTGGTCATAATCAAACGCCCACTTTTGATTTTCAGTAATATTTTTTATATTAGGAAGATGTTCAGCTGTTAAAAAAGATAAAATAATCAAGATTTAAGACATATTATTATATCGAAAGTAATGTTTGCGACTATACACTTAAAATTTTGCCATAATTACGGGGTAAAACTGTGAAATTTTGATACACTAGAAAGTCAATAGAAGCATGTGAGATGCTTCATTAAGTCGTCATGAAGAAAATGTCTGTTCTTAAATTAATAGCAGACAGCAGATCGCGAGTTGTAGACTTTTATCTAGATAGCGCGAGCAAGATATGCTGCTCAGGTAGTGAATAAAATGTGTTCTTGTGCTGCAGAATATGCATCTCAATACCACGACAGACTCGTGAATTATTTTTTTTAAATCTATACATTGAAAAATAATGGATATGAACGGTTATCCTTTTTTTATTTAAATTTTGTAAAAAAATCATATAGTACTTTAAATGGAAATGGATGCTATTTTTTCTTTTAAGGATAGTACTAGTAAATGTTTTTATCGCTGAAAATTTAATATTGAGACAAAATCAACTCAAAAATACAATTTAAGGAAAACTCATCGATTACTCGGCAACTGTTTTACACCAATTGGAATATTCAAACCGCAGTAAGTGCGCATAAATTGATTAATATTTTGAAGAGTTCTGAACTTAAACCGTTTCTTTAGCTTCAGTCATTGATATTCAAAGACCATAGGCACATGTAACGGATGGCCTCTGCGCCAAGATTCAAGGATACTAGTAGATAGTCACGCGAATGTACACTTGTATGACCCTCATATATAATCACCGTAAACTATGTGACCTGGCAAGAAATTATTTTATTTTTGTACCTATTTCATCAGTTTGGTATTGCAACATGTTTGTAATGAAATTTAAAATGAAAATCGAGTGCCCTTGTATATAAGTTACATTTTACGTAAAGTACTTTGACAAAATAAAAAAATATAATGTAGTTTACTTTTGCATATTATTGAAATCATTTCATTTGTGGAAAACAATTTATATGCCGTTGGGACAATTTGGATGTAAACTAATATAGGAAATACAGCAGAAATATGATTAATTGAGAATATAGGATAAATTCATTATGCCAAGTAAAAAATATATAGTGCAACAGACAATTATTGATCTATTTGTGCTGATGTTAAAAATTGGTCCAAAATTCAGAATGCATGGCTTATATTTATTTACAGAAGTTATTTTTTCTCCCCACCATATCTTAGCATATAATTAAAGTCTCTTTTGGTCATATCGTTCCCCTCGTAAAAGATATATATATATATGTTTCATAAAGAGCGAGAATTGGATATCGCTTGATATCAACTCGAGTTATTTAATTTCAATATAATAATAAACGAGCCTTTGGCGAGTTTATTATTACAAGTTTAATTAAATAACGAGCCACCTGTTATAAAATGACCATAAACCCACTTATTCGTGGTATGGCATCAATATTTCTGACCTGACACTACGTACTTTTAATTGCTTAAGGGCATCCGATACAGTTTCTCGATATAATGTCATTTTTATAATTTTGAAATATGTTGTAGGCCTTGGCGAGTTATTAAATAAAACACAAAATAAAACATAGGTCACCATGCTTGTTTTCGAGAAAATTGAGGCTGAAAATTGGGGATTTGTGCAATTTTGTAAAAAAGTTAGGCAATGTTATAAAATTTTTGGAGCAGATATTCTTCGTCGTAAATTATAAAGATCGGGTTCAATTTGAAGCTGTGATAAGACACAATAAGGGAAAAAATAAATCCCTACACGAATGACTATACAATTATGCAAACCTTGCTTGACATTGCGGACCAGATGCTCAAAGTGGTATTTTTTTTAACCTAAAAATAGGGAAATAAAGTGTTTCTGAAAATGTCATTTTTATCATTTTTCTACATAAACTGCATTTTGTCATGCTTCCTCCAAATCTCAAATAAAAAATATATGTCACCGTGCTGGGTTCCATGATAAACGCGAGTTATCCTAAAAATTGAGTCCCCCCCTTTGGAACCTCAACGTTAGCGCTAAAATGCATGACGTCGCTGGCAGACAATTTCGACGTTATCTCTGCAAGTTACCGGCGACATTTTTTAGATGTATAAATATTGCTTGTAAACAGCTACCTATAAATTGGACAAATTGTTTTCGGAAATAAAATCATGTGAATCATAAATACTTGTCTCTGTTTGTGGTCTAAGTGAGAAACATCGCAAGAAAAGTTATTACGGACTGTTGATAATTTTACGGCTTTTAGAATTAAAGACTCGGCAATTTAGAACTTGACATACAGGTACATGTACTGTAGACACTCGTGTATTATTTTTTACAATATGTTGACCTCTAGATGTTGTTTTTTGTTTTGTTTTGTTTGGTGGGCTGCTGTTTCATTACAATACTCCTTAAAATCCTTTTATTCACGTTTTAATCATTTTTTAGAATTTCACATTTATTCATAAAATAAAACTTTTATTACGGTCAATGATTGCAATTGAATAAAATTTATAGGCTTCTGAATAGTTTTAAAGTTCACTTGATAAAATTATCTCCACTGGATCACAGCACAAAGGTTACTTACATGAGGTCTTTTCCTGCAAACGGAACTTCTTTTTTGTACATAAATTAGGCCGCTAGTTTTCTCGTCTGAATTGTTTTACAGTGTCATTTCGGGGCCTTCTATAGTTGACTATGCGGTATGGGCTTTGCTCATTGTTGAAGACCGTACGATGACCTATAGCTGTTAATTTCTGTGTCATGTTTGTCTCTTGTGGAGAGTTGTCTTATCGGCAATTACACCACATCTTCTTTTTTTATGTTGTCAGAAAACAAAAACAAAATCTTATAAAGGAGAATCTTCAATTTGCCAAAGGATGCTTTTGTCCAGACAGAGAAACTAAACCATAATTTTGAAATTTTTGATTTGGCAAAACGATTGAACTAATAGCGAAAGGACTGGACATATTACCTATTCCCCCACCCACTCCCAGCTTTGGTTTTGTTTCTGTTCCTCTCCCAACTTTCCACACTATACCCACTTAAAGTACGATTGCAAAGCAAGTCAGTGGCGGATCCAGAAATTTTCATAAGTAGGGGCCCACTGACTGCATAAGAGGGGGCCCGCTCTCGTCACGCTTCAGTGATTCTCTATATAACCAACCAAAATTTTTCCTCAAAAGGGGGGCCTGAGCCTCCCCCCTGAATACGCCTCTGCACGTCACTTTTATAATCTTGTACTATTATATACTTTCTCTTCAGTTTTTAATGCTGTTTTTTAGGGGGAAGAGGGGAGAGAGTGGGAGAGGGTAGCAAGTTGCGATTAAAATCCAAATACTAGTACTTCTCTCATAGCGTAATTTTATTGGTAAATAACTATATATATTTTTTCACCACAGCGCGACGCATTGCGGGGTACATAAAATATCACACGCCCATTCCTCTGTCTGTCCTTTATGTCCTTCTGGTTAATAGATTTTTCAAGTGTACAATTCTTGCCAAATTTTTATAAAACTAATATCGTATGGACACGTTCGAAAATCAGTGCATATCAACTGTTCTTTAAAAGAGTTATGCCATTTGGAAATATTAATTAAATTGGAAATTGCATTGTATTTAATGTCAATCCGTCATTTCTCTAATATATTTGTAAAAAAAATAAAGAACAAAATAAACAGCTGCGCTACGAGCGATACGCCCATCGTCTTATGAAAAAAACCCATAATAAATGTTTTTAAAATAACACGGGGGTTGTACAGGAATTCATGCTAAGTATATCCTGACTCATTCCTTATTCTTTCTCAATAGGAAGTTTATATATCACATCATGTGTTCTATGATATCAAATTGAAGCTCAATAAAAATTCAAGAACTCAAAAATGAATTAAAGAATCATCACGAAAAAGTATACAGATCTTTAGATTAATTTAAGTAACAAGTATGTGAAGTTTTATGCAATAATTATAAATAGTTTCTGAGATACGGCGCGACATGTGAAAACCCCCTCTTTTTTCATAAACTCAATAACTGTAAAATAAAATTTTGAATCATCCCCAAAAAGTACACAGATCTTCAGATTAATATAACTAAGAAGTGTGTACAGTTTTAAGCAATAATCATAATTCGTTTTTGAGATACGGCGCGAACTGTGAAAAAAAACACCTCTGTTTTAGTTACAAAGTCCTGTAACTCAAAACGTTCACCAAAAAGTATACTTATCGTTTGACCATCATAAAAAACAACTATGTTAAGTTTAATGAAATTTGGATATTTGTGCTGTACTATGTTAAAGACGGACAGACAGACGCCGGACATTTGTATACCATTATTACGTTCCGTCAAAATTTTTCGGGCGTTAATATTGTTGACTTTTGCCTTTTGTTAGATAAAATACGTGCAACGTGGAAGAAATAGGAACTTTGTTGTATCATTTTTAATATTAGCGGCATACCATTATTTATTTTAGTAAATTGTTCAGTTAGGAAATTTACTTCTTCGTGACCCCTAAATTTTCGGTATTAGTTTTAAAATATCATTGGTTTTCTGTGCTGTAATAAAATGTCAGAAAATCGGATTCGGACCAAATCATGGATGATGAATGATAATAAAAATGATAATTGACATGCATTATATTAGTAACACCAAAAGGGTCAGTCGTCTTGAGATTGCTCACTATACGATACTTTGTTGAAGATCTCACAGAAACAGTAATATGTTTTATTTCTTCTGATTTTATTAGACTGTTATCCTGTTAGAATCAAATGCACTAATATTAATGGTTTAGAAGTTAGCATGCGGGAGAAACAGAAATTGAAGCATCGAAAATCCACATTGCGTTTCTTATTACGGAAAATTACACGCATTACGTCCCGCAAAAAGTGACGTTTTGCGGGAATTCAAACGCATAACGTCGCGCCAAGAGTTAACTCCCTTGAAACTGTATCGGATGCCCTTAATTCTTTAGAATTTAATATGCAATGTTTCGGATTTTTTCGGGAATATTCCCAGGTAAATCCTTATCAGAGGCCGACCTTTATTTATATGTTTAATCTAACATTATAGATAGATGTGTGTCTGTTTCATAACAGTTTTTTTTTTTACTCTTATTTACAACACGTGCATATAGGTCTTCGTTGTAGCTAGTCTTTTTACAGACTAAAGAATTGTTGATATCAAGCAATATCCAATTTTCACAAGTAGTTTAACTTATTTCTCTTATGGTTAACACTCTCATTGTGTTAAATTAAAAATTCCGCGAATCGTTGATCTAGTCTTTTGCACATACCAGTATGACGTCATATGTCCTTTTCCGTCGTCAAACTTTAACATTTTAAAACTTTTTGTACGCTTCAGAATGTAATCAAATTTGACAAAAGGAAGATTACCAGGTTAAGAATGTAAGTGTTTTGTATATTATTGAAGAAATTACATATGTCCGTTTCCATGGACGAAATGTACATCGTCTTAGTCTTTGGGAGTTATCAAGGACATACCGAATAGCCAATGGAAATGCCGTAATATCGTCTGATGATGCTCGATAAGCCAATCAAATTAACGCAGTTTTCGTATCACTTTTTCGTATCGCACTCCTTTAGCAAAAATATATTATAAATAGTAATATTACTAATAATAGCAGTTTCCCAAGCTCTCTTTTTATTATACACGAGGAAATTTATCTGGTGTTGGTATGCAGTTAAACTAATTACTTGCGAGCTAAACAGTTAACTATAAGCCACCAAGTCCAACCCATTTCAACACTTCATTTTTGAAAAGGCTTGTTTTAGTGCAGTTCTCTTTTCTTGTTATAGTTATGCTCAAAATTTTGTGCTTCCGTACAATACTGACTTACCTATTCCATCTTGCTTTAAAAAAATAGCCTAGCAGAAGTAAATGTGTACATATACATCATACACAAGTACAGCCGCAGTTACATGCCTTGTATAAGTGTGTAATACATGAATTCGGCAGATTTCTTCAGTTCTTTAGAGCTTACAATCAGTAAAATTAATGTAAGCATTCTTTGATATGGTATTATTTCATAATAGTTTAACTGTGCAGGAGTTTTTACGGTCTGTAACTCCGATATGATAGAGTTCATTGCTTTTTCTGATAGTATTATTGAAGGAATTTTTATGTATATTTTTGTTATAACTGCCATCAAAAAAGGGGGAAAGAGGGGTTGAGTACTGACTACTAGTTTTACCCATGCCACAATTTTTTTTTTGTATATAGTAAGAAATGTCGCCAGTGGTTTTTCGTTTAAATCTTAAAATAGGTATTTTATTACAATACGATTCTTTTAAATTTATTTACAATTCGTCTATGATTATTTCAATATAGAGTTTGATATATGGTACAGACATTTGTATTTTATCTCTAGATGTCAAAGAAACATTTCCATCTGACAGTTCATAGATGCGAAAAGATTTTATATAGTGTGGTTTGTTTCGGACAGAGTCCTATGAAATTGTTCTGATCACTTCTCTATATAGAAATAAGAAGATGTGGTATGATTGCCAATGAAACAACTCTCCACCAGAAACCACATTACGTACAAGTTAGCAAATAGTAAGTTTCATATCTTTTCTTGAAAGAAATGATTATAATTGATTTCGTTGAAAGATAAAAAATGGGAAACAGTAAAGACGGCATGCAGTTGTTGAAGTAAACTTTTAAGTATAATATACTTACCAAAATCATATAACAAGAAAAACACAATATACAGGTAAAAAGTGAGATCCTTCACCAAGCCATTCCAGTCTTTTGGTGAGAAGTCTGAATATTGTAGATGATGGTGCCGGTGGATCTTTTTAATATCCGGCTCCGGTTCAAGGTCAAGGGTGCGTATAAAACCACTAGCTATAACTGCTACTGCCATTCCTATAGCTTGGTAACGAAAAGTTAAACTCCATGGTAAAACTAACTCGTGGTAATGTTTTTTTAATTCCAGTAGTACCGAAAATATGACATTCACCGCTATTGCTGCTATATTAACAATAATTATTACTTTCACTCTTTTGGTAGAAAAATATTCTAAAACAACAACGAGAATCGCATATTCCATAAATCCTGATCCTATCCCTGTAAAATCACAAATAAAATAAATTGTTCTATTATCTTTTAATAACAGTAAGATAAAAAAAAAATGGCGGAAGAAGATATAACAAGGCAATCCAAAACAATAAGGTGAAGACACACAATAATATGGCCAATGAAAAATGGACGAAAAAACAAAACCCATCGAAAACTGGTTGTGAAATCAGGTGTAATAGGTAAGCAGATCTACAGGTTATACCTGTTGTATTGCTTATTACTATGTGTTAAATCTGTTTAAAAGTTGATCCCAGTAATGACATGCACGAGGAAAGAGCTTTGACAAGCGCAATATACCCATGATCATCTGTGACACAAATATTCCATAACGGTCAACCAAAACATGATGGCATTCGTTAAACTTTCCCAGAGATGACTTGAACTTTACCATTAGGAACCCTTTTGTTCCGCAGTTTCATTGAAAGCAGGAAACTTCTTTGGAGATAGAAACGACAGCCCTTAAATACCGTTTCACCTGGAATGTATAGTCTATAATCCCCGGCTTAGTATATTTCTAGGATTTTGATTGGTTAATGCACGTCGTTACAAAACCCATAGCCCCTGGGTGTTGCTAATCCATATACCCGGACGTTGCTACCCATTACAACGGGGAACATGACGCGCGTTTTCCTTAGTTCCATGGTTGTTCCTTGTGAAATATCGAATTCTGTAGATTATCCATGATGTCTGTAATTAAATATTTAATCAACTAACGATGTTATCTTATTATGTCGATCATTTGCACTCATTTTAGTAAATGCATTACTTGGCTGCCACACTGTCAATGAATGGGACTACTGACCTAGCTATGTAAATGACCCACGTTGACGTCACACCGTCTATGATGTAACTCTCACAACATTGAGCGCCAAATTCGACCCATTCCCGTTTCTCTGTCTCTGGATTAAAAACGTCTTATATTGGACTACCTGTAGGGTTCTACCAAAGGTAGTACCCTACACCCCGTTACAAATATGTCAAATTCCCAAATTTCAATAAAAGATTTTTAAAAAATGAATAAAACGTTGCTTTCACGTTACATTTTGTGGTTGAATTTCTCTAAAAATCGCAAGATTTGGACTAAGACCGGGGATAAATTAGTTATCTACGTTCATATCCGTAGATATGGATATTTTAACACCCTTCAGTACCCTGTACACCCTTCGGCTTCGCCTCAGGATGTACTTGGATACTTCAGGGTGTTAGAATATCCATATCTACGGATATGAACGTAGATAACTTATATAATGCAAGCACCGCTTTGATGTTGCTACGTAGAAATGAAAAGTTCATAATGGGAAAAAACTTTCGAGTTCAATGAAATATATGCGATCTTCATAGCACATATATATATAGTCAACAAACGTGAAGTATTCAGTGATAGGTTATCATCTATAAAGCGGAAAGAAAAGTAAAGGGATCATACTAGATTAGTTTCATTCGTCTTGAAAATCCATTGTATGCCTCATACGAGAATAAGGGCGCAGTTGGTTTCGGTATAAATGCCGACTGTCTGTTGCTAAACATGTCAACCAACATTACAAATATTTTTTTAAAATAAAAAATCAAACATTTTGTTGTTGACAGTTTAGGATAAATTGTTGTTAAGATAAAAGCTGTTTTATCAAATAAGATTAGTCCCTTCGTAAAAAGATATTTAATCCATGTTTGTCATTCTCATTTATGAAACAAGTTGGACCAATTCTTACAATTCGTCTTTAAGTGCTGAAAGAGTAATACTCGTGTAAAAGGTAGAGAAGCCAAATGTTATATACTTTATATCATTGTATAAAGAGACTTTATGTACTCTAACATATCTTTAGAATTGTTTATTATTTCAGAATTCAGTGTTTTCGATATGTTAACTGACACATGTCAATTTTAATATCATAAAAGAGGGACGAAAAATACCAGATGGACATTCAAACTCATAAATCGAAAATAAACGGACAACGCCATGGCTAAAAAAGAAAAAGACAAACAGACACACAATAGTACACACTTTGAGGCTGATAATTTTAGTCGTAATATGTGTAGTATAATGTTCTCATCATAGATACCAAGATTGAAATTGTGAACGCAAGATGTGCATTTCGTCTACAAAAGACTCATCAGTGACGCTCGAATTAAAAAAGTTAAAAAGGCCAAATAAAGTACGAAATTGAAGACCTAACATTTCGAAAGGTGTTGCCAAATACAGCTTAGGTAGTCTATTCCTGGGGTACAAAATCTTTAATATTTTGACAAATTCAAAGTTTTGTAAATAGTTGATTTAGAATTATGACCATATCAATGATAATTCCTGTCAACACAGAAGTGATACCAGATGATTGAAATAGATGTTTAAGTATTGTTGTTTTATTATGGAGTTCTACGCAAGTTACATTCCGAGCAAGAAAGAATGAACTTTTCTGGTGAGGGTGGTAATTTTAGTTTGCACAAGGAATAAGGGGAACGTGGTATAATTAAAATTAGATAGACTTCCATTAGAGTCAAAATAACGTGGAGGTAAGTAATTATAGGTCACTGTACGGCTACTTCAATGAGCAAAAACCCGTATTATCATCTATAAAAGGCCCCGACATGACAAAATGTGAATTATTCTAAACGAAAAACTAATGGCTTGTTAGTAGATTTTATTAATCGTCATCTATTTTTTTTTCAAATCAAATACTATTTCATTTCTTCTGTAATAGTTAGTACAATGATTGCAATGCAAAAGAAATACTCTCCTTTACGTGTCCATTCACACTTAACGAACAATGGTAACTACGCTTGTATCTAAATATCTCATGACAAATACCAATCATCATGATCACAAATGTATGTGACAGTATAAGTAATTCAAAACTATGCAATTCTAGAAATTAATTCTATTGTATCGATTAAGATTAATGAATTATGAAATAGATACGGATATAGACTCACAAAAAAACCAAAGGCTACTAACAGATATTATTTAAAGTTCAATTTAATGATTATTTTGTAAATCAATCGAAATCTTCATGTATAAAAATATACGTTTATAACAGCGTGAATGAAAACTAAGAAACAGGCTGATTCCAAGAATATATATACAAATCATATATATGAATTATGGATTATCAGACTTTCTGCATGCAGATAATGATAAAATATCGACTGCCAGTCAAATTATAAAGTTTTTTCGACGCATGAGCAGCATCAAACGAGTTAAAAAATCACATTGTGTCGATATAATCATATTGTGTCGATATAATCATATTGTGTCGATATAATCATATTGTGTCGATATAATCACATTGTGTCGATATAATCATATTGTGTCGATATAATCATATTGTGTCGATATAATCATATTGTGTCGATATAATCACATTGTGTCGATATAATCATATTGTGTCGATATAATCATATTGTGTCGATATAATCATATTGTGTCGATAAAATCACATTGTGTCGATATAATCATATTGATCTAGAACATAGTTTACTTGCTTGTTTTTTATATGTTCATGATAAAGTCGGTTCAAATTGATATCATCTGGTCAAATCTGTTGTACCGTTACAAAACCGCAAAACGGGATTTTATGAATGATACAAAATACCATCACTCTCTTTGTCTCTTCTCACTCATTTAACAGCCAATTTTGGATTCTTCTATTTTAATTGATCTTTTCACTTTTTTCTATTTGTAATTAAGAACAACACCAAAATAACCAAATACAACATATCTTAACCGTTGAAAGGTATTCGTCGAATGTGGAGCTTATTATAAAAAACTGTAATATTCACATACTGTCCGAGTATTGTACAAAATCTTTATTTGCAAATTGCGTCCCTTAAAAAAATTGTACGAGATGTTCTAAAGACTTACCGGAAACACAGCTGACTAGCAGTGCTATCAAACCTCGGAGAGATGCTGTACACAGGGATGCTAACAACAAACCAGAAGCTGCAGTGATACATCCTATTATACCTACCATTCCGTATCCATACCGAATTGATATTACAGCCGCAAATACACCTGCGTAAGGACAAAACAGATCATTTTGACACTTCACAAAAAATGTTTTATAGATTTTGTCAACATATAAAATGTGTGCTTTTGCATTAAGATTGATTTATCGGCGACTTCTCAACATCCAGCTGTGAATTTCGCATCGCATATCCGGGACGATAATATGTTGATGTGTTTGTGGTTGTCGTTGGTTCATGTCTGTCATATTTGTTTTGTTATTGTTTTGTTATATTCTATGAATATATTGATAATATTAATGATGAAACATGCATGTGTCTAAAAATTTTTAATTTCCATACCTCTAACAATCAGAACCACGTTTTATTTTAGTACCTATTAATTTTGTTTAATTTCATTGCTAATATTCCATATACGAAGTAATTTGTTTTACCTCCAAATTTTGAAAAACCGCTGTAAACATTGTATATATCCTGTGCAAGTTCTTTTCCTACGTCATCCGAGAAGCCATCAGAATGTTGAATTATATTTCGTAGGAATTCTTTGCAAAAGTTTAGAATGAAGCAAACGCCAACCATTTTCCATGCAGGTACCCCGCCATCAGGAGGGTGCAATACAGATATCTTCTTACATTTCCGCCTTTTTTGATCATCTGGGCTAGAAATCCGGGAACTTGGTGTAGCATGTATGTCCTACCAAAACATTATATATAGTATTGTTAATTCAGAAATGTTTGTGTGCAATTATTATTGCGAATGTAAAAGAACTAGTAAAAATGCGAGATTAATCATTGCGATTTCAAGTATTTTGCATACAAATATTAATGTTATCAGAATCAAACCTATCCCGTCGAATTTTTGCAATAATAAAATTAAACATCGTAAACATTTCCGAATTTACATTGTACATACTAGTACAAAAAGTCATGTATATTACACATAACAGGTAATTAACATATGAACAAACATATATGGTTGTCCTTGGTTCATGTCTGTCATAATTGTTTTGTTATAAATTAGGTCGTTAGTATTCTCATTTGAATTGTTTCACATTTTTGTTGTCATGGCCTTTTATAGCCGACTATACAGTATGGTTTTTTCTCATTGTTAAATGTCGAGCGGTGACCTTTAATTGCCTACATCCACATCAATTGAACTGTGGTGGATAGTTGTCTCATTGGCAATCATACCAAATTTCCTTATTTTTTATAAAGATAAGAACTGTGGTATAGGGGAATCAAACTCAAACTAGTTGATAAAAGCTACGATAAACTTCAACTGTGTCTGATATGGTTATTTTAAGTGTAATGCGGTAATAGAACTCAGAGGACAGGATCAATTGATTTTTAAGTTTACTTCCTGTACATAAATCAAGAGTCTCAAAATAAATATCAAATCTTCGTATACTGAAAATAATGTTTGAAAATAATTCAATTTGTGGTTTATTACCACACGACAAATAAATAAATGTCAAGACAGGGTCTGAAAAATAAAAAACTTTTCAGTGAAAGTCTAAAATTTAGTGTACCAAGAGGATGGGTTCAAAGTGGTTGGTAACCGTCGAAAGACAAAACATGGACTTGGTATAAATCAGCAATCATATGCATGTGGCTTAAAAACAGATTTCATAACCAATTGAAGAACAAAGACAGCACGTGCATTTTGGTGCCATTGCGTAGGAATTTCGACATCCAGCTTTACACAATTAAATGTATGCCTTGTCATTGATTGGTGTTAGTAAACCTAAACAGAACCCTTGTTAGGGTCTTTTAATTTTATCCTCATTTTTAAATAGTTGCTGTAATTCGTTACTGTCGTTATTTGAATTACAATATAAAAATAAAGAGATGTGTTATGATTGCCAATGAGACAACTATCAACCAAAGTTCCAATAAAGTGGATTATAGGCAACATAACGGCCTTCGGCAAAGAGAAAAACCCATACCATGTAGTCGGCTGTAAAAGGCCCCGACATGAAAAATATGAAACAATTCAATTGAGAAAACTAACGGCCTAATTTATAACAAAACAATTTACGAAAAACAAATATGACAGACATAAAACAACGACAACCACTGAACTACATTACATAAATATTGTATCTATCGTCAATTTTCGGTTTACATATTAAATGAATTAATGCAGAAATCTGTCTATTATAAGTATGAAAAAGGATGTTCTTTTATCTTTAAATATACTGTTCTTTTTATAATATATTTGATATCATGACTAGTATAGAATTCATTTAACGTTTACTAACAGTTATGTGTTACGGTACATGAAACCAAATGTTCTACTATTACTAATGTTAAGGGTCGTAATAACAGTGCTAGCGGCAATATAAAAAAAAGTATGTTTATTATAATTATTGTTTATTTTATTCATAACAAATGATGAAGTGCTACTCAAAGGGTGATTGGATCAAATATATATTTCTATTTGAATTCTAAAATTTCATATTTATACAGTATGTAATGTATTTATTTGGCCTTTTTAACTTTTTTGGATTCCAGCGTCATTGATGGGCCTTTCGTAGACGAAACGCGCGTCTGGTGTACAAAATTCTTATCCTGATATCTATGATGACTTTATATACAGAATTTCTTCAATGTTTCGTAAGGGCAAATGAAGGTTTATGAAGTACGTACGATTCTTTGCAATCATTATTTTCGTGTCACAAGTCCTAATAATTTCCCAATTTTTATAACATACTTTCTCCCGTATTAATTATATAATTTTAATTAAAGAAAGGTCCGTATCCTTTCTTTTCCATCAAATGTTTGAAGACATCATTAAAAAAGGGAATGTTTTAAAAGGAATGTTTTTGCTAATTGGAACTTACCTCTTCATCTTCTACGTGTATAATGTCCGACGCAGATTGACCAAAAGATGAATTATTTCCGATGGTCGAGACTAATTTTAAAGCATCCATCCGTAGGACATAATATAGAAAGAATCATACACTGACGGAACAATCATTTTCGTAACTAGACATGTCCCATGTTGTTTGTGTAGCATGCTGCGAATTTTCTAATTGATAAAATGACATTCTAAACGTATACAGGTTTGAATAATTAATGAATTTAATTATATTAATAAGTAAAACCATAAAGATGAGACAAACCATGCAGTTTATAATTATTAAATGTCTGTATATTCACTACGTTTAATATATGAAAAGTGTTGAAACTTAAAGAAGAATAAAGTACTTTGTTCCGCTATAGTGTGTTATAAGGTATAATTTTCATTAAAATTATTAACAATATTGTGCCATCGTAGCCTGACTCTCCCTTGTGTAATATTTCTGTATCGTCATACACATAATGCTTGATCAATAACACCTATTGTTATATCATAATAGAGAATGACATTCAAATAGAATCGGAGAAAATAGATATAATTGAAAATATCTGTTAGTCGTAGTAGTGCATAGATGGGTAAACTCTACCAACTTTATCTGGTCATGATTCAGATCTACATCAATTTCAGAGAACCGTCTGGGGATTGCGGAGAACAATCAGTCGTATACAGACATCTGTCATGTTTTTCAAACTTTGCTTGATGTTCAATAAACAATATTTGATCATTTCAACTTTCAACCATTACTTTTAGTGTACAACTTCCTGAATGAATTTGGATATTAAAACCTTGTTTATTTATTAAGTTCAGGTTTTACCTTGTAAGAGGGATTTATTAATAATACCCGATTTAAATCATTTTTTTCAAAGATAAAAAATGAAAATAACACTCAAACGATCTTGTTTTTCTTTTCATGACTTCGTTTACTGCTTACAAGAAGGCTAATGGATCAAGTGGTAAAAAGTCATCCCTTCAAAAGATTGCGGATTAGGTTGACCACCCTATGGAAATATCAATACATGTGTCACAGACGATCAAGGACATGTTCAAAATGTTGTAGCCATAATACCATCCTTTTCCCCTCGATTGTGACTTCACCAAATGAGACTTATCGCATAATTTGTACTTGCCATGAGCACCACGACGGGTGACACATATTGAGCAGGATATCATTATCCTCTCAGAGTACCCGAGTACAATCCTCGGTTTATGATGAAGCTCGTGTTGCTCAGTCTTTATTTGTCTGTGTAGTGTTTTGTAGACTGTTGTGTTTTGATATAACATAATATTCTTCTTTATCTTTGGATAATGTAAGTCTGAAGTAAAAAAAAAGCCACTGATTTTCGTCTATGGACTGGCTTGTTCTTATTATATGTTTTAAACAGTGAGTGGTACTAGTATTCTTGACCATGTGATTGATTGGTTTTTGGTAGCTGGTCAGCTTCTCAGCGCATATTATTTCTGGCTTTGTCAGGAGGAATATAAATATTTTCAATTAGTCAGCATTGACAAAATTACTGTTCGGATGTTAATTTTATACATGTCAATGGCCTGGATGTCACCGGTCTGACAACTGGTTTAAGTATCAGCACCCGGATCTGATAGATCATTTCGATTAGTCGAACTAGTACTACTCACTGAATCGATAGTTTACTGTTGATTGGTCCGATGCAAGTACTCCGATATAGAAAAGCCATAACGAAATCGTTGAAGGGCCAAACCAATCCAAGAGTATTTTTTTTAAAAGAACATCTAGATGACACGGCTTTTCAAGGACTAACGTCGGAACCACAAAAACGTAACAAATGTCAGCAAACTATAATTAAAACATGAAATATAACGACTAATCAATTGAGTAATTGAATGATTGATAAGTGCTAGCATTAAAACAAAGGGTAAGTTAAAGATATAGGTATCGAAGACGACAGTTAAACAAACTACAGCATTCTCTTGTAAACCAGTCTCTCTAAGCACATATAAACTGGGGGTTCTAACTAGTGCTGCAGACCAAATAGAGGGCTTGAAGAATCATTCTGCTCATGATTGAAGTAAAAGAAAAGAGAAAGGCATTGCAAGATTCATTAATTTCAAATTCATATATATATATATCAGATTTCAATAACTTATTGTTTATCATAATCTTTCTATATTATTGGTAAACTGAAATAATATACACAATGATTTTTCAATTCCAGTCAGAAATGAAAACAAGTATAAGATATATCTGAATAGATATAAGAAGATGTGGTATGAGTGCCAATGAGACAACTCTCCATCCAAGTCAAAATTTATAAAAGTAAACCATTATAGGTCACAGTACGGTCTTCAACACGGAGCCTTGGCTCACACCGAACAGTAAGCCATAAAGGGCCCCAAAAAAATACTAGTGTAAAACCATTCAAACGGGAAAACCAACGGTCCAATCTATATAAAAAACGAGAAACGAGAAACACTAATGAACCACATCAACAAACTACAACCACTGAACATCAGACTCCTGACCCAGGACAGGTGAAACAAATGCAGCGGATTTAAACGTTTTAATGGTACCAAACCCTCACCCCTTTTCTGAAACAACAGCGTAACATCACAACACAGAAAGACACACTGAAGCATGTTTTATTCACATACTAACAACTTTAACAGAATCTGAACTTAAATTACCTGAGACATATCTGTGAAATCAAAAGAATCTCAATATTTGACTAGAATATAAAACCACTGCCAAGTAGTGCATTCCCCATCATCGTCTTGCAACAAGTTGGAAGAGCTGATACTAAGCATTTATCTTATTTTTCTTTAAATCCATTGAGAGCGGGTTAATTCTAGAGTGTTTAGAAGTATCCTGGGTCTGTTCCATATAAAAATGCTAAAACCCTTGTATTTTACATGACATTTAAAAATGGCATGTATTGAAAAATTTGGCGATTTTACTGCCAATTAATCTCCACTTTATAGGCCTTTGTGTCATGATATAAATAATATGTCGAGTTACTGTAAGTTTTTCTTTTTAAATTTAATTCGAAATATAGTTATTGTGAATCACCTTTTATGGGAAATATATACACAGAATTGACTAAAATTTGGCGAGAACAGGACTGGCCGGAGAGGGGGAGGACTGGCGAGGGTAGGCCTTTTATTGGGACTCTGGAATTGACCCTTTTTAGGTTCAGGAATTTTGGAAATAGGGGTAAAATAATTAAACATGGATTCGGGATCTAGACATTTTGAGGTGGGGAAGATGGGGAAAAAAATTTAAGCTTGGGAAATGCCAAATTTAGGTCTGGGATTTCGGGTAGGACCATCCCTTCCTCTCCTCCCCAAACTCTCTCTCGGAAGTTTTTTAACAGTCATGGTTACAATTTTGAAGTTGAGAACCGTGGAAACAGTATCATTAAAATCTGTCTCAAACATTTCCTGTGATCCACCCCTGTACAATTTCACGGTCACGTGTCCCCTGTCAAAGGCATCATTAACATGTTCATCCTGATCTACGGATCACCAAAAGCCGCCCCTACAACATCTTCCCAAATTTCATTCGTACAAAAGTTGATAATTTTGTTTGGGCCAACATTATATTTTTTCTTGAATGAACTCTGCTCTTCAAGTATTGAGACACACAGGGCAACGTTCGTCAAAGCTGCGAAACCGTAGCTCTTAGGTCCTTGTGATATTTTTTGACTATTTGTCTATGGTCCGCAAATAGTCAAAAAATATCATTAGGACCTAATAGCTACGGTTCCGCAGCTAGTACGTCATGCTTTCCAAACTTTCGACGTCGAATTCAAACCAATGCTTTGAATCTCAAAATGCCAGTGATCATGTCAAACGCTCCCGTGATACTAAACGGACTAAACCTTATACGGGAAACATAAAACCCGAGGATTCCGGTAAAAAAGTTTTGAGCGGTAAATACAAATATAAGATTTTCGGTAGGAACGAAAAATCATTTAGAAAAAAAATTGCCGGTAAATACAAATAAGAGATTTTCAGTGGGAACAAATTTATTGGGTCGGTCGGTAAAGGTCAAACAAACAATATTTTAGTTTAGGCCTAACAATCTTCATTCTGTATTTAAAAAACTTTCCTACAACAAAAAAAAGTTTCATGTACGTCACCCCATGATGATGTTTGCTTTAAAAACCATGTTAAGGAAAAACATAAAGTTAAAGTATGAATAATTATACAAAATCTCATAATTTGAGTACAAAACTACATAACAGCGCCGCTGCTGAGTTTATTAACTATGTTATACATGAAAAAATCAACAAACATTTATTTATAAATATACAACACACAACATAAAAATGCAAGCCTGAAAACCACACTCGACTAGCCCTATCAATCTTATTATATTGATAATTAAAGGGGGGACTAATTAATTCAAAATTTACCAAGGAATTTGAGAACCGATCGCTTTGTTGCTGTCGTGATGAATAAAATGACCGTACGAATGTTACGAGACCTATACATCATGAAAAAGACATGAGAAAATAAGTTCATTTTAATTCACTACGTATATTAAAGTCATATAATACTTCAAATTAAAAAGAATAGTTGATTATGTTTAAATTTATATACTTTATCTTATCAAAATCTTCAAAAATGTACTGCTATTGCAATTATCAACTTCCCATACTCTAATTCGCCTATCTTTATCCGTATGCAGTGATCTTAGCTACGAGACCTTTCGTTAGAACTTCGGCCACCGCACAGCGCAAATGCGAGAGAAAAATCGTGCTGAAAGAATGTTCATAAACATGCCCTGGAAGGTAATTAATAAGAATCAATTCTTAATAAACAAATTAATACACAAAATCATCTAACAACTGGTATGGAAAAGTTTATTTAACAAATTGGAACGCATGGAAAATATTAAAAAAATATTAACATCGCTCTTTCAATTCACGTATTTTTAACGTGCTCCACGATTCTTTGTTGATTGTTTATCAATGTCACGATCCGTTATACTTAATATATATGCATGCATTTTTTCAATAATTCATTAAAATTATAATGACAAGAAACTCATTTCATATGACTCTAATGAAGTGTGGTTCTCGTTTGAATTGTTTTACATTTGTCATTTCGGAGCCTTTTATAGCTGAATATACTGTATGGGGTTTGTTCATTGTTGAAGGCCGTTAGGTGACCTATAGTTGTTAACTTCTATGCCATT